AGCTGAGCCAGGGAATAGGTATGTATTTAGAGTCACAACCCCTGGTATGCCCAAATATGGGAGGATGTTTACTGCTTCCATCATCTGTCATTCGGCTCGTCACAAGAGACCATCCAGACAGAAACCCAATATTTTTACTGTTGCCTTTGTTACATTTGTGTTGTATTTGTGCTGATAAATAAATAAAGGTTATGGCTTAGTATTGATGTATAGATAATTTTTTTTTAAAAAGAATTGTGAATGCAACATCTAAAATACATGCCCATCATAGTCTTAGGCAGGGAATTCTGAGAATTGTTGTTGCAACATTTCTGGCAGCTACCAGGTTTGGGAAAGTGAAGCCATGCTTAATGGACTAGAGTTTACTCCTGATTTGAAGTAGTTATGTTTGTTGAAATGCTGTTTAGAGCCCAAAGAGGCAAGCAGAGAGTTGTTTGGAGTTGTTGTGATCTGTCGGCCGCCGGTCCCTCCAGCAGCCAAATCAGATGACAAGGAGGCAGCCCTCAGTTGGTGAGTTAACAGCCCCCAGGTCTGAAGGTGGCTGATGAGAAAGAGGAGAAACAGCTGGGTTCAGTGCCTGATGCGCCGATATGCATAAGGCAGAGGAGAGGAGAGCAGTGGAAATCTGTAGGCTGATCCTTGGGACGGAAGAGCCACCGCTGCTAGCAAAGCCCCACCCTAGCTCTGGAGATAAAAGACAGGGTGGAGATGAATAGATGTGGCAGACAACTATTCATCTCCCCTGCCAGGCAGACTTGTTAGCCTGTGTTGAGAGAGAAACTTTACGACAGGGCTGCTGGGCACTCCTAATAAAGGAATCATTTATTTAAATACAGAGGGTTTGTCGTGTTTGGGGAGCTGGGTCAGAACAGGAGTGTACTGACAGATCTTGGAGAATTTCTGACTATCAAGGAGTTATAGCTTGCAGCAATAAAGAGATTTCTTTCTGGATTAAGTTGATTTAATTAAGGTAACTCAAAAAGAAAAAGAATTAGGCTTGAACATTTTCAGTTCTGGCATGGAGTACCTTTTCAGATATGCCACATTCTACAGTTATATGTCAGTTTCCCTAAGCCCCATTGCAGTGGTGAAATTCAATTTTTTTTACTACCAGTTCTGTGGGCGTGGCTTGGTGGGCGTGGCAGGGGATCTCCATTCCCATCCCACTCTGGGGCCAGCCAGAGGAGGTATTTGCCAATTCTCCAAACTACTCAAAATTTCCGTTACCGGTTCTCCAGAACTTGTTAGAACCTGCTGAATTTCACCCCTGCCCCATTGTAACTTGATGGAAACTAAAATAGATGGTGCAAGCTGAAAGCCTGGGTAGCTTTACACTAGATTGCACTATAAAGCCTTTGTTTTCAGTCATTTCTCTTTCTGGGGTTGGGCAGCAGTGGTGGTGAAGAATTAGGTGTCTGGAGTTACTCTTTAGCTTCAAACACGCACACAAATGTTTCTTTCAGTGGAAAGCTGCTATCCAAATACCCAGTATTTATATCTGGTTTGTCAGATGCCTCAAAGGTGCTTTTCAAAAGGGAACTGGACTTTCTTGGTTTTTTCTTTGAAAACATTTTGATTCTCGTCCAAGAAGCTTCTTCAGTTCTAGGGAAAAAGCAAGAAAGTCCAGTTGCCCTTTGAAAAGCACCTTTGGCACAACCATGAGCTGGATGACTGAGAATCTCCATAGATGTGTGCCAGCTGGGTTGTGTAATCTATTGTCTCCTTTTCCAGATGCATTTCCCTGGATACTCCCAATCAGAGCATCCAAAGCAGCACAGAGTCAACCTGCACAGCACCTTCAGTGCCCCCTATATCGGTCTGATTCACGCAGTTTTGCAGCTAGTTTACGTGAGTTAGAAAAAGTAAGGCTTTTATTTATGTATTCAGTAAAGGTGCTTAAGCTGCTTTTTTTCTGATGATGCTTGATGTTCTCTTTGAACATAGCTTTGGTAAAAGCGAGAGGGTTGACAGTGAATAGATTGCAGGATATGTCCTACTGGTATGCAAGGTGAAAAATGCTTGGAATGGATTACCTAGGCATGGCCCTGTTGCAGTTTTAAGTAACCATATTGTGCTGTTTACTACAGTATCAATTTGCATATTCAAAATAAATGACAGGGAGAACATGTCAGGCAATGCTGAATCAATAAATCTTGCTTTATCAGAAAGGGCTATTATTGAAAATAGAGTTCTGTCTTTCAAAATGTCAAAGAACCTTGAATATATATGTTAGTTATTTTTTTGTTATGTGGAAGGAAATAGCCAGGTGGTAAGGCCTCTGGCTCAAAGTGAGGGAGTTCCAGTTGTCATTCTGGCTTGGAATTCTGGCAGGTCACCTGCAGGTACCAGCTTGGATAAATTAGGCTATGCTTTAGCATTCTCAGGATGTGGAATCATTTTTAAAATGTTTAATTTTTTTAATATGTTGAAATCAGTTTCTTTGATAAATATTGAAATATTCAATATTCAAAAACATTGAATAAATATTTTTCTAAATCAGTGTTGATGGTACTGGGGCCCTATGAACTGGGAAGATGCCAAAATGAAGCTGAAAGGGAAGCCTGATGGATCATTCCTAGTTCGTGACAGCTCTGATCCTCGGTATATTCTGAGCCTCAGCTTTCGATCTCAGGGTATTACCCATCACACTAGAATGGAGCATTACCAAGGTGAGGGGAACAGAGGCATGGGCATCACATTAAGGTGGCTTCCTACTTAGTTTGAAAGGGAAGCATTTGCCTAGGTTCATTTAATGAATTATTGTGGAATGTGATTTTCAAACCCAGATGTCCCAATGCCAGTGTTCTCTTGTGGTTGTCTTTAATTTTAGTAAGTTTTTGCAAAGCCAGCCTCTACAAACCATACACTTTCACCCATGTACTTACTCATTCTAAAATGCATCTTTATTCCTGACTCAGGAACCTTTAGCCTTTGGTGCCATCCGAAGTTTGAAGACTGTTGCCAGTCTGTGGTGGAGTTCATTAAACGTGCTATGCTGCATTCCAAAAATGGAAAATTCCTTTATTTTTTGCAATCAAGAGTGCCAGGTAAATATGAATGTGTGTATCTTTGTGAGTGTTGGAGGTGACTCATGCAGCTCTTAGGATATTCTTTTCTTGTGGCATTTATTAAGCAAGTTATAAAATAACCAGCAATTATTTTTAGGTTTTGTTAGCAAAAACATCTACGTCAATAACAGTAAAACAAGTAATTCTGAAATATCCAGCAGGAATTGGTCAGAAGAAATTATTCCATGCAATAGTCGACAGTTGAGTTAAAAAGTGGATGGGGTTGACTTATAAAGTGCTTCAGATATACTTGGAGATCTGGTTTATCCTGTTCCTAAAGCCATTCTATCATTGCCTTACATGCCTTTCTGTTGGTCATTTTCAACTGACCTGCTGGTTCAAATACTTTGGGAAAGTGAAATTGTACAGTAATTCTCTTTCACTTGCTTCAAAGGCTGAAGCATAAGTCAGGGGTGAAGCACTTTTGGCCCTCCAGCTGTTGGGTTACTTACAGCTTTCATTCTCCTTGACAATTGCCTATGTTGTGCTTGAATGGAATTTCTCCAGAACAGCAGTGAATTAATTCTAGAACCTTTGACTCAAAAATTACATTTGATTCATTGACTCTGGAGTTGTTCTTCAAACTCATCTATAAAACTTGACATCATGCACAGGTCAGATTATTCAGTTAGAAAAAGTTTCACGAAGTGAGCAAGTTTCATAGTTGTAAGGAACTTGAATATACAAGGGGAAACAAGCAAAATTCAAATATCCTGTGCCATTTTTTCTTATACATTTAAAGCATTTTTATCCTATTCTGTAGTGCCTCCCACTCCAGAAAATCCATCTCCCAAGGACTTAAGGAGATCTAAAAGGCAGGATGCCCAAAGGAAAAGTTGTCAAGAGATGAGAGAAAATAATCAGATATAAAGAGAATACATCAGGTTTGACCCCAGCTGATACTTGGACTAGAAGGTTGCAGCCAGAGATTCAAGACATGGCTCCGATAAGATGCTTAAAATCCTTAATAATGAAGGAAAAAACCCCAGCTACAGCAAGCTCTCACTGCCTAGAGTCACTTGTTGAGATGGGTGGGGGGTGGGGGAGCATACAAAGGAAGGAAGGGAAGGAAGGAAAATAAAAGAAAGGAGGAAAAACAAGTTCAGTTCAGTTTATTAGACTTGTATGCCGCCCTATTCCCAAAGGGACTCAGGGCGGCTATCAAACCAAAAGGGAAT